GGTCAGTAGGCCACAGTCACTGGGTTGAATCTTTACTGTGTTCCTTTTACATTTTGGGGGGCACAGAGCATGATGAAGGGGTGGAGTGGGACTTTATTATCTCCCTTTTTCAGAGTTCCTTGTTTTTCCAAGTGTGTGTCTGCACAAATGAGCGTGTGTGTGCTCCTAAAGGCTGCCCTTGGGTTGCTAAGCAACCCTGGCTGTGTCTGCAGGTTGGAGTGGGGGTGGGACGGGAAAAAAAAGCACCAGGTCAAGAGAGACAGACACTCACAAGCATCACCGCGTCTGATTGGAGACATTGGAGCTCCTGATGAATGATGCTGATCATTATCATGTCGGCCGGCTGAAATGTGTTTGAGTCTCACAGTCAGGGAGTTCGTTTATCTACATCATAAACTGTGTGGGAGATCCCTCTTCTCGTCCACACCCCCGCAAAAGAGGTGAATTTGTGTCTGATAGATAGGGTTTGTGCTAAAATATCTGAACAGTTTTTCAATGTATGCAAAGGAATTTTAGAAGACAAAAATGCACAAATATACATTTGCACATTTCTATGTTAAACCCTCAGATGAATGAGGGTTGGTTGTTGTGACACTCTAAGTAGGTACTGTGTTCATCTTTATCACAATTTAAAAAAGCTGTTTTATCCTCAGGTACATTTGTTTCTATGTCATGGATAACATACTCTGATAAGGATCAGGCTTGGTAAAAAATGAGCGAAACAGCTATATTTCACTTTGTTTTTTATCCCAGTAACCTCAGCGATCAGGACATCATTGTGTTTACTAAATCAAACTTGTTTTCTCCCAGAATCAAAAAAAGACTTGATGATTAAATTTACAGTGCTAAATTAAGATTCTCCAACAGACGCCAAACTATTTCCCCTGAGAAAAAACAAATCATAGGACATAAGGCAGCCCAGATTTAGCCCAGGACTAATGGGACACTGTAGGTGTTGGGTAGTCATGCTCTGAAGTCACCAAGGTAACAGCAACCGGTCCGAGGCCAAGCCTTCACGGCTGAATGGCACAGTCACCACAGGAGACTTGAGACTGCTGTCATTCAGGACCAGAGTCAGACATGACGATTAGACAAGGACAGTCAGAACTGGAATTTCTTCTGAAAATCTAGAAAAACAGATTTTACATGTTCTGATACATGCACAGGTTGTACTTTTTGTTCATTTGACTTTGAAACTTGGCACAAACCTGATTAACTGTTGATCACTTTTTGTTTTCATTGGCTTTTCTGTGTCGTTTTCTTCTGAGTTCAAAATAAGCTCTGACATAAAGGAAAACATTTGTGCAGTCTCAAAAGAGTTGTTACGGCAAGATTTGAACATTTTGTCTATCTGAAATCCAGATGTTTTTCTGTTTTATATTTACGAGAATAATTGGGTTACACTGAATTATTGTGGAAAAATTGCATTAATCTCATGCAACACCATCATGTTCTCATGGAGCTTGGAAATCCTCCCAGTTTTGCTCAGTAGAGCTTTAAAGCAGTTGCAGCACATTGGCATTCCTTCATCTTGTAAATGTAATGTGTGGTACAGTCTCACCTCTCTCATAAACCCAATTTTCTGTCCATCAGGCAGCCTTTCCATCACACAAGCTTAACAGACTGTGCACTGTATATCTGCTCTGCACACCACTGAAAAAGCTGCTTGCTGAATAAGACAAGACTGGGCGAAAAGGTCAGTAAATTCTGAATTTAACTCTTTATGAAAAAATCTACCATGACTGTTTTCCCCCATGTTACAAAGTTACCCTGCTTAAATTTGACTAACCTTTTCCTGATACTGATTTACATCAATCTATGAGTTATAACTACACACTGCTGCTGTCCAGCTTTTTAGTGTGTTGCAATGTGTTTTAGTTGGTATATTTTGTCAGCCTCTACTTGTGACTAAAAGGTTAATATGAGTAGCAGATGTTTAAGGTGAATTACAGCACAAATGAAAGGAAAATTTTGTGGGTGTTTCCGGTTTCCTCCCACATCCCAAAAACAGGCAAAAGTGGGGTTAGGTTAATTGGTCACTTTCTAATTGTCCTTAGACGTGAATGTGAACGTGGATGGTTGTTCATCTCTAAAGTGACGTTTACGTGGGCAATTTTTTTTTGATCCGATTAGAAATGTGAGGGACCGGAAAATCTGAATCCACTGATATGGGTGCAAAATCAAATAATCCGATCACGATTTGCGTATACATGCACCAAACTTTATTCAGATAAGAAGCATTTGGACATGCGCAGAGTTGTCTATTTTCGCTAAAACAACCGCAGGTGAAGAGTTGTATTTACGCCTGTGCTGCTGTCAACAAACCAACAAACGCGGTTTGTTGATAGTCCATCCAATCCAGGAGTTTTCCTCCCTGTTAAATGTTGTCACTAGAGGCGCCCTTGCGTACTCATTTTACTGTTCTGTCAAAGGTTGCACTGTGCGTGCAGATGTGACATCATTACGCTGTATGAACGCCTTGTTCTGTTACTGGAGGAGCAGACACGGTACATGTGGTTGTGTTTTATGCCAGAGTGAGTAATGAAACCTCCTGTACTGGCCTCAACAAATAAGCCAAAGGCTAAAGAGTGAAGATCGAGTCGGGTAAGAGAGTCACGATCGGAATTCGTGTTTACATGGACACGTTTCGGAATAACGATCGACATAAACCACCCCTCACGATCGGAATAGAATTTCTATCCGATTGAGCCGAATTGGATCAGGATGTGTCGGTCGACATGTTTACATGACACATTTTTATTCCGATTATTTGTACCCCTGTAAACAGCAGCTAATGTGTCAGCCCTGCAATGAACTGGCGACTTGCCAAGGGTGTCCCCTGCCTTTGCCCCAAGATGCTGGGATAGCCTGGCGACCCCCCAATGGGATAAGCAGTAGAAAATGGATGGATGTAACCAAATGAAGTTTATCTGATTTTTTAATCTCTTTGCAAGTAATACAAAAATCGTCTTGGACCTGAATTCCTTCACCATGTTTTGTGGAGCACAGATTGTAGTGTCAGAGATGAGCTAAAATGTTCAAACACAGGAAATGAACAAAATTAACAAGATGGATGAATTAGCAAATATCAACATAAAATAAATGAATAATAATGCATCAGATTTTATAGCACTTGATCAAAAACCCTCAAAGTGCTTTACATTGGATACATCATTCATTGGCTCACACAGTCACACCCTGGTGGTGGTAAACTACCTTAGTAGTCACAGTTGCCCTGGGGCAGACTGACGGAATCGTGGCTGCCAGTTTGCGCCTACGTCCTCTCCGACCACCATTATACAACACTCACAATCATACACCAGTGGAGGGCACACACTGGGAGAAAGGTGGGTTAAATGTCTTGCCCAAGGGCACAATGGACAGACTCAGGATAAGTGAGAATCAAACTGCCAACCTTCTAGTTATTGGACGACCCCTTTACCTCCTGAGCTACTGCTGCTCCAACCAAAGTAATTCATTTACTATTTCTAATAATGAACAAGCCATTTCGTATTTCCAATTTCCATTTTGATTTATTAAAATAAGGTTGAACAGAGAAATAGCACAATTGAAACCACAGGAAAATATTCTGTTATACAGCACCCAAAGTTAAAATGCATCTCTGTCAGACCATTTTGAATTATACTAGCAGGTATCAAGGGGTCTTTAAATTCAGTGAAATCAATAAAATGTTAGTGGTCTTATCCACCTCCTCTCTGTGCTTTGGATCGAGCAAAAAGGTCAAATCTTATGTTGTACAGTGATTGGACCTTCAACGCCAAGTACACACTAAACCTTATGGGGTTTATAGTTTTAACCAGAGGGGGACTAAACTGGCATATGGTTGGGGTGAACTGGTGGAAACATACAGGTAGAGTAGTGGCTGTATATGAGAAACAGTGGGTGGGCTTAGGGGAGCTTTGTGGTGGATGTTAGGCTGGTGGGGGGCAGTTAGAAGGGCAGATATATGGCAGCAATGTGTGGAGCGTTGCCCATCATTGGTAAGAAGCGGATGGGGGAGGGCGGTATTGGCACTCTTGGAGTAAGTCTGATAAACAGCTCTTCTTGTTCCCTGCTGTGGGGGGGTTTACAGCCTGGTGGCAGACAGCCAGCACCAGTGATGGCACCAACTGTCACTGGCAGCCCCCCACTCTCTGCTGAAAAAGTGATGGTGTGTGAGTGGCGGAGTGTGAATCAAAGTGTTTCTCTCACAGTCGTTGGTTATCTGTGTTCACATCTAGCAGGCGGGGGATAGGATCACAAGATGTATTTCGTTAAGTCAGGAAATAAATTCATTTACATTGTGCAATTCACTGACTAAAAGTCACAGAGTGTGTTTTAAAGAATGTAAAGAAAATTAATGAAATAATAGAAATAGATGATGAAAGAGATGCTGGGGTTCCATAGGACACAGGCATGCCTATACAAATTGAAGAAAGACCATTTCCAGATGCAATAACTTTTGCCTAAAGAGCATTCAAATTTATATTAAAAGGGATAATTTTAGCATAATCATTCATATCTCATTGTGCATATCTCGATGAGATAACTTTTAATATTTGCAGGAAAGTAAAGCCAAGTTCTCAAAATTTTTGAAAAGCTGAAAAGACAGTAAATCTCTCAGATCATATAATATAACACGAAAGTAATTAATTTACTCTTTGACTCTTCTTACTGTGCCTACAAAAGATTCTGCTATGCATTATAATCCATTTGTGAGTGTCCTCTCTTTGTTAATTGTGCTATAACTACAGGTGAATCCTGTAGTTGACCCCGCACTTCGTCTATAAAGTGCACTCAGTCAACTATATAACAGTCATCACTTCATCCCCACTCCTCCTGCCCCCCTCCCATCAGTCACAACCTTATAAGACCCTCAGTCACTTCCCTCCAGCTGCCCACTCCTCCATCCCTCCCTGCCTCTTCATCACATCTAATCACCTGCAGTCAGTGGTGGTCAGGCAGATCTCAGCTCATGTGTTGATTGGCTGCACTGTAGAGTGGGCGGGCCCTGCTCTGATGCATCGCACACGTACCAGCGCAGCAGGACAGATCCTCTCTCTCTCTCTCTCTCTCTCTCTCTCTCTCTCGCTCTCTCTCTCCCTCCCCCTCTCTCTACCTCTTACTCTGCCTTTCATACAAATGCCAGATCGCAGACTGCAGCAGAACGCTAGGCCAGAAGGATTTTCCCTCCTTGCACTGGGAGAGCTGAGAAACTAAAGAGACAGCTCACTGCTGAGAAGGAAGGAGACATTATTTATGGATGATCCATCGAGGAGCACTTGAAGCATCAGAGTGTATAGGTGAGTGCGTTTGTCCTGCTGTTTATGTGTGTGTGTCCATGCTTGTTCGAGTTCACTGCAGAAGCAGCGGCACTGCAGATACACAGACCAGAGGCTCTGCTCATCCCTCTCTACCATCCCCCCACTCTCCTCTTCCTCTTCATCTCCTCTCCTCTTTTTTTTTTTGGAGCATCTACTAAAAAGTCAGGACTTTACTCATGTCAGAGTGTGCCAGGATGTGTACACTGTGTGTGTCAGAGAGAGTAAAATAGCTCAGGCCACACCTGGCTGGACAGCTGCAGAGTGGACATAAGCTCGGCTTCCTTTTTCCTCCCTCAGAATGATGTTAGAAAGAGAGAAAAAAAAACAAGCTCACACTTGTTAGTCCTTAACTTTTAAAATAATCCTCCTGTAGGTTTACATCCAGCTTTCTGAAGCAGTTCTGCGGTCTGCAAGGTGCACCAGCCCAACCCCCGGGACCGGCCCACTCCCTTCTTACCTGCTGCTCATCCTCATTCAAAGGATAGGATGGCTGGCTCTGCGCGCCTGTGCTGAGGAGGCGTCTGCAGGCAGCAGTATGGGCGCTGCGCTGGCTGGCATCCCCACCACCCCCTCCACCACTGATCTGCCACCACCACGCTGCCCCACCAAAACGGGCGCTCCCCCCAGCCCCGCTGATGGGCGAAGACACTGACGCCACCCCGACACTCAACCACCGAGGCTTCCTTCCTGACCACAACTATGTGACTGAAGGTAAGGAGATGGATGAAGATGCTGCATGTGCTTTCGCTGTATACATTATCTTTAAAGTCCCTGTGTGTGAGTTAGGTTTATGGAGAGTGTGCGGCCAAAGTGTGTGTGTGCTGAGTGTGTCTGTTAGATAAAACTAGCTCAGAAAAGCTTCCTAATCTTCTCTAAGCTCTGTGTTGCTCAGACAGAGTTGCAGACAGAACAACAGGAAGTAGTGGGAATACACTCTACTAAATTTAATCATATTAGGCAAATTTCCATCTCTTCACAATCCCTCCACTCATACAGTTTGTTTTCAGTCAGTCTCTTTTCCTTTTCATCCTCCTGTCCTTTTTTAAATGTGTGCTTTTGTAATCACTTCCCTACCTTGCATAACACGGCTATTTTGTGACACCGCAGGGAAGAATTGATCTGGCCCATGTGAATGTGTGTCTGAAAGTCTCTGTTATGTCTGCTAGTATTTCACTTTAACTGTAGAAATTGAAAGAAAAAGGCAGAAATATATCTTACTGTTTCGCAGTTAGACATATTCAATTTCTGCTACATTGTCCTCAAACATAACAAGTGCAAATTTTCAATTGAACATAGTTTTACATCTTAGAAACTATAAAGCAGCACACAATCAGTGGTACAAACCTCTAATGTGCCCTGGTTTGTTTCCTAAAAAAAGATGGATTATTACCTTGGATGACCTCCCGTGTTGCTAATCTCAATAATACCACTAATCTTACCTGCACACCAGCATCTCTATCGGCCTGTTCTCAATCCCTTTCTTACACTCAGCTCATTGTTTGCCCTACCTACCTCTCTGACCCGGACAGTAGAATACCATTTGTGGTTCATGAATGTGTTGTGTGCTCATTTGTAATTCTCGTATCACAGCAGAAAAGGAATTCAGCTTTCTGTTTCTGCGCTGTTATATCATTTCCTCCTCACAGAAGCACACGCCGTTGTCAGGGGAGAGCCGTAGTGCTGCCTGTTGATTGTGTAACTCGTGTGTTTGCATTCAATACATTGTCTCGCTGAGAGGGCAGAGGAATATGTGTGTGTGTGTGTTTGTCTCAGTGTGTGTTTTCTCTTGTATACAGTGTTCCCATTGTGTCTTTCTCCATTTCACAAAAGGATTTTTTAAGAAATAGTGGCAGAATACCAGTCCTGACATCCATCACCAACCATCAATTATTGCCATGGCAACAGTCCATGATGATAAACATGCTGCTTTTCATGCTTGGCTGATATGATTGACATGTCGTCTCCACCCACCAATACTGGCAGTATTAATTATTCCACACATCTTGGGCAGACACAGACATTATTCAGGCTGAATTGCTGATGAGCTCACACCAAAGTGGACACACCACTGAACACTGTTGGTGTGACACAACTGTGCAACACCGAGCGAGACTGAGCCTTAAAAAAGTCCACATGTACTGATTGGCTTCTAAAGATCAATACCACAGAAATTCCCCCCTGACCACCAAACAGATCATTTTGTGTCACAAATAAACAAAATGATCCATAAAGGCCTCTTCTTCTACACTCACTTCAACCCCCCTTCACCTTTCCCTCCATGTTCATCCCCCACCCCTGTCCTCCTCCCTGTTTCCATCCCCCACTACATCCCCCTCCAAACCTTTCCCCATTGGTCTCCTAATGTAACTCACAGCAATGCCTGGCGCCGAAGTGGCACGTATGCCAAACAATTACCCAACAGTGTTCTGAAGGCTGCTCAAACACAATGTGTGTGTGTGTGTGTGTGTGTGTGTGTGTGTGTGTGTGTGTGTGTGTGTGTGTGTGTGTGTGTGTAGAGAGAGAGATAGAGTGTGTGGTGCTGCATGTGATTTTATGCCTGGATGTATTCTTCCTCCTTTCTATGTTGCATTCATATTCATGTTTTGTGTCTGAGTGCATCTCTGTGTCCTTTTGGTTTGCTCATGTCTGTGTGTTTATGTATTTTTGCAAGGGTTTTGTCTGTGTTTTTATGTGTGTGAGTGCGTGTGTGTCTGTCTGTAAATCTTCCCATGGGAACCCCCCTGCCCTTTAACTCCTACTGGGGAGTCATGCTCAACCCTCTTTTACCTAACCTTCCCTCCCTCCATCTCTCACTCCCCCTTCACGATCCCTTTTGCCCTTTTGAAAATCTTGTGAGTGGAGAGACAAGGACAGATGAGGAGCAAAATAAAACAGACCAGACATAAACTTCAGAATTTTTGACATATTTTTTCTTTTTTTACCTTTTTGTAAATAAATGATGGCTGATTCAATTCCAGCTTTGTTACCAACATAGTTAGTGTGCATCATTGAGAAAGAGGTGAAAGGCTGGGGAAATCACTCACTTACCTGACTAAAGTACCACTGAGTGTCTGAGGACAAATCTGGATACAGATATTTTTAAAGACTGATTTTTTCAATCTCCCAGTTTCAACAAAATCCACACCAGAAGTGTTTTTGAAAATATCTTAGGGTTAGCAGAATATTAGATTTTTGCTGCTATTCTCAAACTTATTTTAGCCGATACTGATATTGATATAGATATGAACACACCTGTTTTCTTTTCATTTTCAGCAACACCAAGTCTCTCCTGTCCTAGAACCTACCTGTCCATCTTACTTTTACAGTCTGTTTGTTTTAGAAATAGACATAAATCAAGACAAACAACATTCAGTTCAACCATAAATGATAAGTGTATCCTTTTGAAGTATAGACATCCAGAGATGTGTCTGCTCTCTGTGTCTCTTATCATTTTCTGACACTTCAAAATACTTCTATACATTTGGCACTGAAACTCATGGGAGTGCATAAGCAGTCACTTTGTGTGCATAATTTATACATCCCCTTACAGGTAGTACATACTGACAGGCATGTAAAAATCTGCGACTAAGTAATGTTTTACTGCTGATACCGATATTATACCAATAATACTGTGCATCCCCATATTTCCTTGTCCACATGACATAGCATGAAAAGCATGCCATGACGGTAAGTGGGGAATAATGTGTGATCAGTCTGTCACATCAAAACACCACCAAGATATTTATACACAGACTAGAGCGAGCAGCAGTTGTCACTGTGTACATAGTGGTAAATTAAAAACTATTCAATATCTGTTTATTGAAACCCTCCAGTGCTGCGGGATAATGACAAAGGATAGCAAGATTTCCCAGTCAATATACAATTAAGCGAGCAGATAATTTCACCTATTATAAACAAAATCCCTCCACAAACTCCACAAAATTACAACCTCCTCATGCTTGCATGTCCCCAGGCGCTTAATGCTACAGCAAAGACAAAACAATGAACAGTCTTAGGATAAACCCTTAGTTCATGGACACGATGAGTAAATATGAAAAACTTGAAGTAAATAGGGAATTTTTCCATATCTTAAAATTTTAAATTTTTATATGTAGTTGTATTTTGCTGTTTGATATCATTTCAGTAATTCTTGTTGGTCACACAAATTAAATTTAAAGACGCAACTCTGAGCTTTAGAAACATGATGAGCAGATGGCATGGTGTCAAACAAAATAAAACTAAAAGGAAAATGTGTCAAAATTAATCCCTAGCTCCATGTCAGTAGGTGAGCTGTCATCAGCTCTCATAACTTCTCAGTATATGCCCGTCCTTGTCCCCCAGGGCTGAAAGTGAGATAATTACAGTTCATCTAAAAAAAACCTGCCAGTTAAGTCTCTGTGTATATCTGTTCATCCTACATGTTTAGCAAACTATCTAGCCAGACCCAACCTGTCAATACATCATGTTGTAAAAACACAGACCAATCATAAATACACTGTATATCAGTTATTTTCTTCTCTGGTCATTTCCCATGGCCAAGTGTGGTGATGCAGTAACTCAGTCCCAACCCTTAACCCCACCCTTCCTGCTCCTTCTTTCCCCTCTGCTCCTCCCTGTTGCCCTCCTTCCTTCCTTCCCTCCCTTCCATCCTTGCTCCTCTTGCAGGGCTGCTCCTGGCTATAGCCTGAAGAGCTGCGCCCATCCTGTCCACCCCTCTCCACCCTGGAGTCCTCCCCCAGGATGTTGAGCCCCATCCAGGTCCTGTGCTCCGACATCACTACCCTTTCTCTGGAGCCCGAGCCGTTTGCCTCTTACACTGAAGGTGTGTGCTCTCTCCTCTTCTTTCCCAACAGTCCTCTGTCTGTTGTCCGGTTTCCCCACGTGACCCCAGTGTGGCAGATGACAGCTGGTGTGTACGCCTGTGTGTGGATGACTGTAGATGAGAAAGTGTTGGAGATGGGATGAAGTCTGACTGTATCTAGGTGTGTGTGTGTGTGTGTGTGTGTGTGTGTGTGTGTGTGTGTGTGTGTGTGTGTGTGTGTGTGTGTGTGTGTGTGTGTGTGTGTGTGTAATTTGTTTGAATCAGGTGAATTCTGACTGGTTGAGTCTGGGTGTTAAAAATACCTGAAATACCTTCACTTTTCTCTGTCTGCCTCATCCTTTTTTCAGTTTCTATTTTTGCACTGGCCTCTTTATTTTTGTCTCAGTGTGCCAGCTTTAGTGTGTGTACTGTATCTGTGTGTGTGTGTGTGTGTGTGTGTGTGTGTGTGTGGGGTTGATTTCTTTGAACAGTTAGACCAGATGTCACTCGGTCTTCTTCAAAACCCACTTCTCTTCTTCCTCTTGTCATCACGAACACAGACATCTAAGGACACACTCTCTTGAGCCTTCAACTCATGTGCAGCGTACACGCACTTCAGATATTCCTACACACAAACACATGCAAGACAAAAAAGACACAACCTCCCTTAGTCTAAAACAGTGCTTTAAGAATCTGAAGGTTTTCCGTTTTCTGTAGTGAACGAATAAAAGCAGCTGTGACAATCTGTGTCATACAAGTGTATTTTCCCCTACAGAATAATCATCTATTTGCGAGGTAATTTTTTTCTCAATTTATAAATTTTGCTTCTTATACAGATAATGAGCCTTTAAGCCAAATCCAGGTGAAAGACTTCTAAATGGAATAAAATAAATCTCACATCGCAGCTTTAAGTATTCATGCAGCCTGAAGACGTCTGAGCAGGTTTACAGGTGTAACTCACACATGCAGCTGAGTCCAGCTCCGTTTGTGATTCTAATTGTTTGCGCCCATAAACATTAGGCTCACACTAGCCCGGCTCCATTGTACCAATGTGTGTTTGTAGAAATGGCAGATTCCCTGCTGTGCGGGGCTTAAATCACCCCTCTCCACACATGTGCACCACCAATACAAACACACGTTAAACACACCTTTTTTTTCTGAATAACTCCAAAACTGCTGGACAGGGATCCATTTAACCTCTCCCTACGGCATCTCCTCTGCTCCCTTCTCTCCCTCTCCTCCTCCTCCAACCCATTTATTTCTCTGCAGGGTAATAGAGTACACACACTTGTGCACACGTACACAGGAAATGTGGGCTGCTTAAGCAGCAGCACGCAGACACACACAAACACACACACACACGCGCGCACAGACAACTCCTGCTGAGTGGTGACTGGTCTTTGCTTTTAAGGAGTGTGTTTTTGGCTCGGCTTAAATCATCCGTGTTTACTCAGACCTTAGATATCTATAATTGGGACGGTTGGACGTCTGCTCCCCTGTCTGTCCCCAAACCAGCCTTAACAAAAAACGAAGAAAAATCCATCCCCCTCAACACCCCCCACTATCCCCTCCTCTCCTCTCCTCATCCTCGATTAACTCAGTAGTGTCAGCTCCAGCTCATTTTACAGCTACAGATAAATCTTGATGTGTTAATAGCATCATTATCAATAAACCTACAAATGAATGTTTAGTTTTATTGTCAACCAAAATAATTTTGCTTAAAAATGTGGAAACAGAATGGAAAAACTGATCAATATCTTCTCAAGTAAGTCCTGTGTGGCATCGTCAGACTTCCTGTTTTGGTCGACAAATCACTTAAAACTCAAAAATAAAAAAACTGCTGACATTACAAAGCATGAGAAAACCCAGGTGATAATTTGGTTTGACTTTAAGGATAATGGTCAATGGTATCTTGATTAAAATCAATCATCATATGAACAAGTGTTAAAATTTGTACACATAATCTCCTTACGACATATTTTCGATGGTGTGAGACGTCGTTGTCCTTGTAAAATCCTTCCTCAGGTTATTTGAGTGCTGCTTTGTTTGGTGTTTATCCCTTGTGCGTGTTTTTTAAAGCTCTCTGTGTCACTGGGTTCATTCATGTTTGTGTGTTGTTGTTGTTCTGTATTGATGTGTACTGTATATGTGGGCGCCTGCACTTGCAGTCACAGTGTGCTCCTTTGCTCCTGCAGTGTGTCGATGAGTCAGACCGGCCTGCCGATGCTAATGGACTGTCTGTGGGAGACAGACAGAGCTAACTTGCTATACTGTAGCACTCTCTCTCATAAATACACACAAACTCACTCAAGCTCTACTGTACTTTGACTTACAGCTTCAGCTCTTATGCTACTTTTTCTGTCAGTTTTAATCTCGCTCACATCTGTCCTTTTCTAATAAAGAGCATCAGAGAGGCTGGAGGACGTTTGAGGCTTTGTGTGTGTGTGTGTGTGTGTGTGTGTGTGTGTGTGTGTGGGTTTGCGTCCGTGTGTGTGTAAAGTAAAGAAAGATGAAGCAGCATCAGGATGAGGACAGGATGAGAGAGGAGAGTGTGTGCTCCATATTTTATTCAGCTTCATTGTGTGCAGCTCCCGTAGTTTTGCTTAGCTTAGCTTTTTCTCTGTGTGCGATTTGAGTGGAGACACATTTATCTGTAAACGCACTCTCACTCACTCACTCACACACACACACACACACACACACACACACACACACACACACACACACACACACAGATCATTAAGCACACACACATTTTGTGCATGGTTACGTGACTGTGTTAATTCAATCCTGCTCAGTGTGCGTAGTTGTGTTTGGGAATGCACTGCGTGTGTGGGGATGTGTTTTTACGAGTGCCATCCTTTGTGTGTTTGCATCAATTACAGACACATCCTTGGATCCAAGGCTCCCTCCGCATCTCCTGATAATAATTTAGCAGTTTGTTAGTGGACCAAACTGCAAAGCCGTAATTATTCTACTGCACTCCTTCTTCCTGTGAGGATTGGATTGATGAATCCCACTTCCTCCTTTCCACCAGATTACCATATACGGCTAACTGCTACGAGTACCACTGCCACTGGTTGGCTCTGCCTGTTACCATGGCAACCCCTGCTCACTGACACCCCCCCCCCCCATATCTCTCTTTTTCCATCGCATCCATTCTTACACCACCAGCATCACCACCACTACGTACAAGCTAACCCACGGCCAGGCGGCAGAGTGCAGTGGGGGAGGTATGAGGCAGAGAGGGGGAGAGATGAATGTAGATGGACAGCCAAGAAGAAAATCAGAGAGTGAAATGGGCCAAAAAAAGAGAAACTGAGGACCAAGAGATGGGAGATGAGTAAAAAAAAAATCTGCAGGGGGGTTGGAGAGGGATTGAGGGTAAGCCTGAAACTAAAATTGAAACTGAAAATATCAGGTGCTGCAGAGACTGAGAGATCAAGAGACTGTGTAATGACTCCATAGTGGAAAAATCATAAAAAAGAGAAAGAAGGGGACATGGTAGAGAGAAAGAGAGAGAGAGAGGTAACCAGTATTACAAAAAGTGTGCGACAAGCACGATGAATAAGGTTGTGTTGGCGTAGAGAACGAGGAGTAGTCCCTGCCTCCCTGCATCATAAAAACTCACCCCCCAAGGCCAGCGCAGGAAAGACAAGAGGCTGCAGCTTTGAATGAGACCCTCTACAATACACTCCATTTTTATTACAGTTGGTGCTTTTGGAGGACCACGAGTTTTTCTACCACAACTGAGTTCAGTGGGCTCAAGCGGTTGAAATAAAATGACAACTTGTCTGTGCAGTAGTAGCTTTGAACAGATGTCAGTGTTTGTAGACCAACCTGGACTCCATTAGAAATCCCTTAAGGTTTTGTGTTTTTCAAGGTTGCGCATGTTTATAGATTAAGTTGTCAGTTATGAGTTTTATTTTATGATGCTTCTCGTACATCAGATGCAATTTATGCAGGAAAAATGACTTAGTCTTTTATCTTCCTTATTGATGCTTGGTCAGCAAAATATTAAGTGCACATATTTCATATGAGCAGTTTTCAGTGAGGCAGTTGCATATATTTTGCTGAGCAGATCAATAATGAGCTCTCTAATTTGTCTGATCGCAAAGCCTTGTTAACGCTGTTACTTGTTCTGATAACCAAACATGATTCCATTTATTAGTAGTTCACTCATTTTCCTATTGCCATAAAATACATATGTGCTTCAAGGAACTCAGGATGAGCATGCTCAGTCAACCAAACAAGCCATCACCAGAATTACTTGTTGGTTAAACAAATGATCAAAATGCTGGTTGTATGTTGTGTCTAAGCTGTGGCACAGCTACTCGCCATTAGTTGGGGCTGTGGCTTTGCTTAGTGACCACTGCTGAAAGGTTATGCCACTATGACACTGCTAAGTATCCTGAGTATTCAGGTTTGCTGGTATTTTAGTTATGAAAACTGAGATACGGTTGGATGTTAACCTGCAGTGAGGAACAGGGTTGGTGGATTTAGAAGTTTTGAACAAGTTTGTACAAAATAAAATTGTGAGTTTCGTCAGGTCTGTCCTCGAGGGCGAGAGAATTTGAGATTCGTTGCTGAAGTTGCTCTGTGTCTGGTCAGTGTCAAGAAGTAAGTTGTCATCTGTAAATTTTGCTCCAAATACCAACAGCTAAAAAAACGCTCCAGAAACTGAAGCAGTTCATGTGTCATGGTGTAGTGTGTGGGTGAGTGACATATTGAGACAACACTGAATTTGGTTTATTGTGACCATCTTGGATATTAAATATTCAACATATTGAACACTGCCATTGTCATGATGACCATCGTCACCGGCGACTTTCTGTCATTAAGACAGCCTTTGTGTATGAGTATGAAGACTGTCAGATAATCATTGTCTACACTAACATACACCATACCTCCCAAAACTTTTGGCTGCCTGAAGAGCCTGAATATTAGTCAAAGAAAAGCAAGGTCAAAATGTTGATTTTATCAAAGCTTGACCAAAATGAGGTCAATGTCAACATCAATTTTAGAGGGGACAGATTCACAGATCTGATGTCCAATGAGGTCAATTTTAGAGCTAGAATAAAAACTGGCCTCGAGGGTGTAGTTTGTAACCTTTTAGTTTGAATTTGCTTATTCAAATCTACTGCTCAGTTCAACAAATAACTTCATAAATGACATCAAACATACAATATGAATATAGTCTACCAAGTCTAGAGAGGATCACTGTTTGCTGTGATAAACTGAAACACGTGCCGCAGACTGTGCCAAAAGGATTCGTGTCGATACTTGCTCAGCTGTACATGATGACACTATTCCTAAATCACCTAGAGCTGTTGGCGTTGTACCACAAACATTCTCCCAAAGAAAGCTGATGAAATGAAATACAAGTTGGTTTTAAAGTTTTATATGTGTTCATGGCCTGTGAAATATATGCTTACCTATAAACACAGAAATGGATGGGGGATAATACTGACAATATTGTTCATATTGTCTCTATTAATCAGTCTGAACCATTATTAGTATATATGATCGTTTTTTTGTGTGGAAGAGTGTAGACATGCACATGTTTGCATCTGCAGCATTATCAGACAACCCACCTCTAGCAATGTGTCTTTGTTGACTGAGAACATTTCTGATTTATTTGACTTGCTTTCATGTGAAGTGCTGTTGTTATTATCTGACATACACATATTTATTCCTGGTATTGGATACACTACATGGTTGTCATCCTCTTACAATCAAGCTCTGCCTTCTCCGGTTATTTTGTGAGACACGAGCAGTGAAGATTCGTGTTTTCAGTTCAGAGGCGTGTGATTTTTGATGATCCAAACAAGAGGAGCCAGTTCTCTGCTGTCAAACCTACTCAGTAGTGTAGCATATTAAACAAAGAGTAATGAAAGGAGGATGAATAGACAGAAAAAGGAGGAGAAGGAGATGGATAAGTGAACTATTTATACAGATATGACACTCTTTTGGATTTTATAAGGTTGAGATTCAAGCAAGTGCTCTCTTTTACTCATTCTGTGTATTTTGTGGTTCAGAAAGGTCCTTTGAGAGCAGCTTGGCAGTAAATGCTAAGTGGTTAATGTTGTTCTCACTCCTCATATATCAGTGTTTGTCACTGAGTCACTCTGTGTCGCTGTCTCAGGGCAAGCAATGAGGAAAATGTTGTGAAAGTGCAACTAAATGTCATGACAAATGAAGTACTGAGCTTTATCTAATCACATATGCAAAATCATGCTTTGGATTGCGCTTATGCTTGATGACACCTCAGGGATTATTATTCTTATACACACACACACAAACGCAGTCACGAGGAACTGAAGTGACTCTGTAATCTGGTGTGAGTGAAGTGTCAGTGTGCGTCACTGGATGTGTCATACTGGGGCACAAACAACACCTGTGCCACGTGAAACAGCTGTGTGTACGTGACTGTGTTTGTGGATTTGTGCTTTCTGTGTGTTTTCATTGGCTTTCAAACATTTTCCATTAAAGTTTACACACCGTCACAGAGCATTTGTGTCACTGATCAAATATTATTTTATACCTCACATTAATTTGCATATCCTAATCCATTTACACTTTAATGCTTTGACTGTTGACTCAGTTTAACAATTCAGAGTCAGATAAACAGATTATCCCGATGAATGATGATGCATGCTCAATTAGCTAATGGCTGCCCTTCTCTCTCTCTCTCTTTTTTCTTGTCATTTCTTTCTCTCACGCTCCATCTTTGTCTCTCCCTCTGTATTCTCCCTCTTACCAGCTGATATCATCTCCACTGTTGAGTTCAACCACACAGGAGAGCTACTGGCCACAGGGGACAAAGGAGGCCGAGTGGTCATCTTTCAGAGAGAACCTGAGGTACACACACAACTCTAATATGCACACTCGTACGCACAGAAATATCATTTTTCATTCCAGCTCTGAGAGCAATAACAAACACAGTGTTTCCCCTTTGGCTACACCTCAGATTGGCTGATAAATTGGTCACTTTCCTGTTGTGTCAGAGGCTTGATAATCACATCTGTATGGAGTGTGTACCGCGCCATTTCTTACCTGGTCACCTGCATCTCTTTATGCTTCTTCCTCAGAGCAAGACTGAGCCATTCTCCCAGGGAGAGTACAATGTCTACAGCACCTTTCAGAGCCATGAGCCTGAGTTTGACTACCTTAAGAGTCTGGAGATCGAGGAGAAGATCAATAAGATCCGATGGCTGCCTCAGCAGAACGCTGCTCACTTCCTCCTCTCCACCAATGGTGAGAGACTACACATATTCACGGCTCCCAGAGAAACCAGATACCCGGAAGATCTTTTTGCATATATCGGGTGTTTTTAAGTTTCTCATCTCAGAAATCAGATTTTCCCTCATCAGAGTTGTGTCATAGTTCTTGAGTGCATTAGGAGTTAGATAAGCAGTTCCATCATCAGTTTATGTTCCGAGTTTATGGCTATATAGGAGAATCTATGGATTTTCTCTGAGCGCCGTCTTATTGATTTATTTAAGTACTACATTATTTATGATTGAGGCTATGAAAAATGTAGGATCTGCCTCGGTAGTTGGGTTAAAGCCAGTGCTTGAACGCTTGCTGTCATTTTTCTGTTATAATAGTGAGTTCTGTGTTTGTCAGTGTTGATAAAACAAAACCTCGCTGATCGCTCACTCTGAGTCCCCAATGTCATTCAAAGCTGACAGTTTGATGTGTGTCGGTGGATTAGCCTGTTCATTTTGTCATTCCTTTAGGTGTCAAGTGTGTTTTCAATAGATTTTCAGATCTAACTTTGAATTTCAGATAAAATTCTATTTTTGGCTCCGCTGGATTTTTAATCGCAGTAAATCTGAGATCCCCAGATAGCTTCCAAACATCAGAGCATCATCAACAACCACCTTTTACTCATTTGTTATGCTTTCACTTTTTATCTGTTGTTATCTTATTCTTAATGGGCCGGTCTTTTTTTACAGATAAGACCATTAAGTTGTGGAAGGTGAGTGAAAGAGACAAACGGCCTGAAGGATACAACCTGAAAGATGAGGAGGGTCGTATCAAGGATGTCTCTACCGTCACCTCTCTACAGGTATCCATCTATCTCTATCTATCTATCTATCTATCTATCTATCTATCTATCTATCTATCTATCTATCTATCTATCTATCTATCTATCTATCTATCTATCTATCTATCTATCTATCTATCTATCTATCTATCTATCTATCTATCTAAATCTTGCACTCAGTAAAAAAGTATTCATAGAGTCAGCTGTTCATCATAACTGGGTCAGTGGGTACAGATGTGTTTGCATGTGCGAAAATGGGTCACTGGCACACTGGCACGTGTGTACGACTGTCTGAGTGTGTGGGGGTGGAGAAAAGTGTAGTTTCCAGCTGTGCACATCAGCAGCACCGTACCAACATTAGTCAAAGCATTTGTGTTTCTGTCGTTGTTGATTCTTGGTGATCTAGATTCAGCATCCTCTTTGTAAATATCTGAAAACATGTATGGGTGTACGGCGATTCGCTCCCTGTGTGCCGCATGCAAATGAGGACACACATTTAAGCTATGTGTAAAAATGTAAATTAGGCTTTGACAAAGGATTTGTGTTTTAATGCAAATGTCAATGCACAAATGCACTTTCAATCATGGCCTGAATTGGATTTTGATCTCCCTATCAACTGAGCACGCTGAGGCTTTGGCAGTAATTTATTGATATCAAGGGGAGCATTAACGTATTAATTCATGATACAATCAAACAGTTTAGATTTAATCTATTATCTGAGCAACAGCAGCCCTATCTCATCCAATCAGTGACACAGGATGATGGACCGCTCTGTTTCTTTTTTAGGTGCCGGTGTTGATGCCGATGGACCTGATGGTGGAGGTGAGCCCACGGCGAGTCTTCGCAAACGCTCACACCTACCACGTCAACTCCATCTCCGTCAACTCTGACTATGAGACCTACATGTCAGCTGATGACCTGAGGATCAACCTCTGGCATCTGGACATCACCGACCGCAGCTTCAGTATCCTTTGTGAGCTTTAGAGCACATGTACAGCAAGAAGAGTCAGACTCAAACATCAATGCAATCAAGCTGGAATCAGCATAAACACACATGAACAAACACGTAACAGAGTATATTTATTTAAGCACAGGCAAACACATAATTGATGCACATATTAACACACTGATGTATATACATGCTCCTCAATCAATCCCTGCCCACACACACTCACACATATATACACACACACACACTCACAGCAGATTTACACATCCCACTTTGTTGTTTAAAGAAATGCACACAGACACACAGTGATGGGGGAGGGGAATATTATTACAGAGAGTGAAAATCTAGCTTAATGAATAATTCAAAAGCTGCATAAATATTTCAGCCCCTTTCTGAGTTCTAATCCAGCTCAATAGGACACAGTACAGTCACATCGCTGACCCAGACAGGATTTATGATATTACAATTTATCTGAATATGGAATTACTTTCCTCCAAACACTTCCCCCAAGATAGATTTAAATTGCTCTGCTTTATTTCCCCTGTAAATTATTTACATTGCATCCGATTATGTTTACATTTACATATACCGGGTTTTATTTTGTGTGTGGATCATGGACCTGTGGGGCTTACTGTGTAAATCCAGTTCAAAATAGTCTCACATTTATTGATAAAGTTCATAAAGGTGTGACTGAAAGAATTCCTGGTACAGTATGAAAAATGAAAAAACCTGGTCACAGGTCCAAGAATATCTGTTGTCTTCCTGAGTGATGCTTCCTCCTCAGACATCGTGGATATCAAACCAGCCAACATGGAGGATCTGACAGAGGTGATCACAGCGGCTGAGTTTCACCCCCACCACTGTAACCTGTTTGTCTACAGCAGCAGTAAAGGCACCCTGCGTCTCTGTGACATGAGAGAAGCAGCGCTGTGTGACAAACACTCCAAATGTAAGTTCACATTTTAAGAGCAGGCATGAAGACATCCACCCCATGACAGGTCAAAATGTCTCACTCTGCTGGATGTTTTATTTAGCCTATGAGCTACTGCTCAGAAAAAGGGCGAAAAATGTTGCAAGTAAAATATTTCAACAGGATTGGATGACTGGGGATGGCATTTGCTTAACATCAGTAATAGTTCTGCCAAAAACCATCTAACAGGGATCTGCTGGTGATGCCAAATGTATGAGAATAGTCTCTGAGTATGATTCATTTATATGTGATTATGTATAATTATAATTAGGGGAAACATTTAATATGTTCATGCACTTTGTGAGTTAAAAAAGGAGACTGATTTGAAAGCAAATCACTGAAAATCCAAATGTAAAGTATTTTAATTCATTTTAGTTCAGTGAGCACATCCATTGGTGGTATTTTAATGGCAGATACATTGTTTTCATTGATGTAAAACTAAATAAGTAAATACGTTCACTCATGTATCTGCTGTCCTTCAGAAACAACATAGTAAATTTCACTTTTCTGTTTCAAGTAAATGTTGTAAACTTAGCTCAGTATAGCATCCAAAGAAGCAGCAAGGCAGCAATTCACATGATATAAATACCTGCATTTTACGGATCACATCCATATGTCGCCAGGTACCTGTGTGTCTGCATATCAGTGTTTGGTCTCTGAATAAAACACCACCCCCCTTTCTCTCCTTCTTCCTCTTTTCTTCCCCTCCTTCTCTCCTCTCCAGTGTTCGAGGAGCCCGAGGACCCCAGCGCCCGCTCCTTCTTCTCTGAGATCATCTCCTCAGTCTCAGACGTCAAGTTCAGCCACAGCGGACGCTACCTGCTCACGAGAGACTACCTGACGGCCAAGGTGTGGGACCTAAACATGGAGAGCAAGCCCCTGGAGACGTACCAGGTGTGTGACTGAGCAACAGCGAGATAAAGAAGAGTTAAAATACAAATGACAGAAGACCAGTGTTTGCCCACAAGCTTAGTTACTATGATTAGATTTCCTCCGGAAAGAAGCAAATTTACTCTGGGCAAGATAAACCTATCAGCAGTGAGGGATTAAAAACACATTTCTACCTGAATCCACTCGTCTTTCAGAGGGATGAAATTCCTGCAGATCACTCTCAAATAATGATAATGAATGATGAACCCACTTCTGAGACCTTAATATGTTATATGATGGATTACAAATGTGTACTTAAACTAATTTAGTTTACTCTTGATATGCCAGAGATACATAGTTATAGTTTGAGTGGGTGTTGACATTTTTATTTCCTTAGATTATTAGCTGTTTTATATTCTTACCTCCACAGCTGACTGTTAACACGCAACCAAAGCCATTAGCCACTACTTCTGTATGGTTATTTTTATTGGATGAAACTAATACAAACGAAGCCGACTGAGTAAAAACAGCCTGTTTTTTTTTATATTTTCCATTTTTAAAAGTCACAATTATTGATACATTTAACTGATAATAGTCAGCAGGATAAAAACACAGTAAATTACACAAAGATCCTGAAGATGAGGCGACACATGACCAATAACGTTTCAAAGAGAATCATTTTCTTGATCTTGTAATGGCGCCACATGGGAAGGAGAGGTATGCCACCCTACTTTGTAATCAGGAAAAATGAAACTACTTCACTGATATAAGCGTGTCAGTATTCAAATGTGTTTAAAGCAGCAGATGGAGTTCAGCTGGGACCTGTAGATGACTGACACAGGAGCTCAGAGGTGGTGTCAAAATGAGATTAAAGCTCAGGGTGATTTAAGCTAATAATGTGAAGGATAGCCAGGATCTACTTGTCCTGTAGTCTCCTGTGATTCATCCAGTGACTCTGCAGTTTGCTGATAATGTTCAGACAAAAATCTGTTTTCTGGAGGCTAACAGTTTTGAAGATTTTTGCAAAAATTTGAAAGACCAAAACCAACTTTTTGAGAACCTTTCTGATTCATCTAAAATCTCACTATGTTTTGCTGATGAGCAATGTGATAACAAGACTTCAATCTTAAAAACCCACAACAGTGGCCCTCATCCTCTGTCATAAACATCAGGCAGAAAAAACACTGATGGGAGACTAGGGCTGCTGTGTTCGACTCTCCATCAACATCATTAGTATGGAAACTGAGGATGAATCTTTTGGATTCATGTTGTGCATCTTTCCACTAAGTGACAAACGACTGTCCTTGCAGCTTATGAAGACACTCCTTTTTTCCCCTTCTATTTGTCCTCCATTGGCTTCTCTCCATTTAATCCAGTGTAGTAAAGATGTCTGCACAGTTTGGTAAGATTATTAAGTGAAGCTTCTTTCACCAAACCTAACTCTGTTCAAACTGAGCATTCCTGTTTAATTGTTAGTGTTTGTGATTTAAGTCAAACTGCAAGACTTACCAACTGTTTCATGAAGTAAGGCGTTGTCTTCCTGTAAATATTTTTAACTGGAGACAAATGAATCATGGGATGACGGTTGTCTTTTACAATATCTGTACTTACTGATGATTAGATTTTTCTCAAACCTTTTAAGGATAATTGGATTGATTATGTGCCAGAAAATGCTCTCCTTCTCGCCGGGAACCCCACAAAGAAAGCTGTCCAGCTGTGGCCTCTTTATTTGAACTTTTTTTCAAACTTTAATCTATAGATGGGTCCGTCTGTGTGTGGCAGATTAAAACTGGCATCGCATGCTCAAACATGATTTTCTGTTTCCTGTGAACCTTGGGTGGAGATTGAGTATTTTGATGTACAACTACTAAGCTTGTAGAGAGAGTGTTTTATCCACACTTTGCTTCCCTCATGAGTCACTTCTTAATGTTTACAAAGAGCCACACAAGCTTCTGTGTACGCTTCTAAGCACAGTGAAAGTATTTATCAACACCTTTCTTTCAGTGTGTGTTCAGTATTCCTGCCATGAGTGGGTGAACATGTGTGTGTATCTGCCTGACGTGTGAGGGCCCATGAGGCAGCCAGGAGTGGGAGGCTAAGATGCACCACAGCTATTTATAGGCTGCCGAATCTCCACTCGTAAAGGGAAGAAGGGAAGAAGGGATACCTTACACAGCGACCGACACCTAGATCTGCAATGCAGCACAGAGAGGGAGGAAAAGGAGTGAGGGAGTGAGGAGAAGGGGGGTTGTTTAGGAGAAATGGAGAGATGATGGGATGATAGTGTGATGTTTGTAAACGAGGGGATAAGGAAGAGGTTGAATGGGGTAAACCAAGGAGGGAAAAGGATATCAGAGCGTTTACACTTTTGTTTTTGGATAAACTTATGCTCTGATTCCTGCTCAAATAACAAAACAAGGGGTGAGGCACCCCGCTCTGAATCAGAGACGATGCAGAGCAGGAAAAAATGCAAAAGGACTATACATTTTCAACTTCCGCTGACACTGTATCATTTATCCCCTGAGCAGGAGGATCTACAGGGAAAAGCCGAAATGTCACCAGGTTTGATGTACAACCATGAGCCGACCTCAGCTTGACCATTTATTGATCGCTCAGCGACTGTTGACTGCTGACTTTATGCAGAATGTGGAGTCGGGGGCTCGATGCAGAGCAGAGAGGTGTAGATTTCAAAGCCTTGCATCACCAAGCCAACACAGTGCTGACACAGGCAGGTTGGTGGAAGGCACAGGGGAAAAGAGTTATTAGTCAGGGAAAATGTGAGTGCATGTGGGTTCATATGTGTGTCTCTCTTATCACGCCCTTGGTGGGTTTGGATGTTAATGGATTTACCGATAAAGAAAAGGAGTTTAGATTAAAATGGACTCCTGACTCTCGTATTGCTCAGGGCCGGAGGATGAGTCTTATTGGAGATGCCTTCAGGGAGGTTTGGGTTACAGCTTCCCCACCTTTTATATGTTGTGTCTGTTTGGGTGGGTGGAGAGCATTTGTGATCTGTTCGTTACACGGTTCAAATACAGAGTCAAATCCTTTTTAATCATACCTACCTGCTTGTGTCTGTGTGTGTTACTCCAGGTTCACGATTACCTCCGCAGCAAGTTGTGTTCCCTCTACGAAAATGACTGCATCTTTGACAAGTTTGAGTGTGCCTGGAATGGCTCTGACAGGTAAATCTTCGTTTCATATTTGTGATAATATGTTGATTTACTTCATCAGACGGGCTGGTTTTGAGCTCCCCCTCAATTAAATATTCTATTTAAAACCTCTGTTACAGCATTTTTTCTTGAAATAGAGTGAAGTGGATACTCTTAACAATCCACAGATTTTTAAGGGTAGCTTGTTTTGTAAGTGGGATTGTATGATCTTGGTCTCATCACCCACAGAAGATACCAGTCAGCTCGGCCCCTTTGTTAATAAACTGAAATGGATGCTATGCTGTAGACAGGGTTAGTTTAACCAGCTTCATTACTCTATCAAGTAAGCTCAGTTTAAGGAAGTCTAAGTCTTGAAGTAAAAGAACAGCTGTACTTGAAGACTGACTTGTCCCAGCCTAGAAAGAAAGGGTAGGTTTCAACAGAAAAGGTCCGAAACAACCAATTAAATACAACCATCTGTATGTCAGATGACATTATGCGTACATTTATGCTTACGTGTCTGACTTTCATAACATTAGCTAAATAACATGGCAGAGCTGACCTCATCTTCAGCAGTTGACGGACTAGCTTCTGTTCTTGTGGGTAACTCACTATTGAGCAGTACCTCATACAACATCACAAGAACTGTTGAGTCAGGAGCAACTTTTTAAAACTTTGGTGTTGGTGTTATTCTGGATATTCCTGGAGAACATTTTAAAAACAATTATCTGCTTCACAATACCGTTTCAGACTTTAAGGGAACTTATAAAGCATGAATTTCTTTCTGGTAAACTTTTAAGTAATATTCCCTTTCATTTTTCCTGCCAAACAATCCTCTCGCACTCACACAAAATGCAAAAGCAGGAGTCTCTCAAAAAAGCGAATGGTAATGACATGTTTCTTCTCCTCGATCTGGTCCTTAGTGTGATCATGACCGGAGCCTACAACAACTTCTTCCGCATGTTTGACCGCAACACCAAACGCGACGTAACCCTGGAGGCATCAAGAGAGAGCAGCAAACCCCGGGCCGTCCTGAAGCCGCGGAGGGTCTGCGCCGCAGGTGGAAAGCGCCGGAAGGACGACATCAGTGTGGACAGCCTGGACTTCACCAAGAAGATCCTGCACACAGCCTGGCACCCCAACGAGAACATCATTGCCATCGCCGCTACCAACAACCTGTACATCTTCCAGGACAAACTCAACTCTGAGATGCATTAACAAAAGGATGTCAGCACTGAATCTGATGAGTTTACACCTGAAAACACAACTATGCCAGAATGTACACATTTACAGACACACACACCCACAGGAATATGCCTAGCAAACATGCACACACATACACTCATCTAGGTCTACTCCTTCACACCCTCACCTCCTCCCTGCCTCCCAGAACTGAAAGGACCTAGTAAAGGGCTAGAGAGGGAACAGGCTGGATTACGCAATGGATTATGGATTACAAACTAGTTCCAATTGTGGATTTCTTGATTGTTAACCTCTGGATTGTGCTTGATGGTGTGTTGATTGCTACATCTAAGCTTCTGGGGTGGATAAACCCCTCAAACCTCAGAGTGGAGAAATGTTTCCATGTTTGTCATTTTTTGTTTGGTTCTTTAGGCTCTTTTGCTTTGTCCACCTCCTCTTCCTCCTCCTCCTCTCCTTTCTGTTTTTGTGTGCTCGAGCAAAGCCTATTCTTATCCCTTGCCCACTGTTTCATGTAACAAAAACCCTTCGTGGTTGTCTACCACCGGCACTGATGATAAATGGGGCATTTACATAACTGGCTGTTTGTTTCATTTCAGATCAGCAACCCGATCTTTTCCTTTTTTCCTGATCTAATTGTGTAATGTTATTTATGATGGTAATTACAATGACAATGAGAAATTAAAATGATTTGTGTGAAAAGGATGAACTCGGGACCCTACCCCTCAAACCAAGTGCACCCAGACGCCTCAGAGCTCGACTGTACCGTGTTCAGTGAGCCAGAACCTCCACGGCCCTGCAGACAGAAGTAGAATAGATAACAGAACTGCAGCCTGATATGAAGACACACACTCATATCTGCTCCACAAGCTGTGTTTCAGCCGCAACATTTCTGTTGCTGAAACTTCTCTGGTCTGAGGCTGCGTTGTGTGCTACTTTGCTGTTGAACACAACTCAAATTAAGCAAAAAAAAACTCTTAAAAAAAGAACAAAATACATCAACAATCAAGCAAAAAGATGCTGCATGTCAAACTAATTTAGCCTAGGTGTTTATAAGTTGATTGACCACTGACTTGGCTGCCTTCTTAACCATTTAGACCCAGCTGTACAAAGGCTTCAGGGGCTCCCGGGGGCCCCCATGCAGCACGAGTTACCATAGATGACCGAGCTCTCCTACCTTTGTGTCTTTGGGCACTGAAGCATGTTTACCAGTGTTCGGCTCATACACATACATGTACATTTTGAATGAAGCTGCCCAAGAATCAGTTTCTGCTCAACTAAAACTGAAACCTAAGAAGAATGGGGAATGTTTTCATTAATGTTGTTCTCAAACCGAAAAAATAAGAAAAAAATTAAAGGGCCTAAATGGTGTCTGTAAATATTAACTCTGTTTTTTGACATGTTTGAAGTTTAGTTTTTTTTAATATCCACAAACAAACTTGATCGTCTGTATCGCTGATCGCCTCCAAAGCTGCAGCAGAGAGATGCTACTTAAATCTCTTCAGCCTTCCTCACTGATTACTTTTCTGACGTGCAGAAGCTTTTATTTTTAGAGAACAGTTTATTCTTTTATTATCCTTTTTTGACATGTCAACCACGTCCCGACCAAACTAATGTTAAGTCACTTATTTTCATGTTAATATATGTTGAAGACAACATTGTTGAATAGACAGTAAATACTGTTAAATGTTTTTTTTCTGAATAAAGATTTCAACGAAATTGCATCCAATGAGCGTACATCTGTGATTTTTTATTGCTGTGTAATCATGAGGCTGACAGTTACTGCTGGTGACATTATGGAAATGTGAATTCTTATCAGCTTTAATCTATACGGGTCGATGAAGGAGCATCAAGACAGCTACTCAGTCATAAAGTCTGAGGCGTCACCTAGTGTCCAAACTTGCTTACTACAGCTGGAATATTATTTCTCAGAAATTCCTGTATCCTTCAGATTTAAAGATTGAAAGATTTAAATTCTTTCAAGGCCAGGATAGTAAGTCCAGGTAATTTATTATTAATGTCTGCACTGAACCAACTGTAACATGTCTGCTTTTTAAATGGCCTGTAAAGCAGACATGAGCATTTTAACAAATACAGCATGAGCAAAATAAGTGAGTGAAAGACTGTTCATGACTGAAAGGCTAAAATCATCCAATCGTTGCATTCAGCTCCTAGTAAATAAAAACATTACGAAATATTTTCATGTTGTTTATTGGTCACAGTAAAGAAAACAGTAGTGACATCCTCACTTAAAGCAAACCATCAGTCAAGGGCTGCAAATATTAATTCTTAAATCTCTGCACAGCAGAGGCTGAGACAAACACAGGAGGAGAAAGAGAAGAGAGAAAAAAAATTTGCACCTGCACTGTAATAAGTATTAAAGCAGCTACAACTCAGCATTGTTATATTCAGGTTGAAGAAATAAAAGTCTTGAACATATTTGAATTCAAATGATATTTCATAAGGCACTTGAAAATAATCCTCAAAGCCAACATTATAACTGACAAATGCTGTAAAAACACTGATTAAAGCTTTATTACACAGAAAACCTTGAAGATGGGGTAGGCAGGAATCTGTTAAAGAAACATATTTTCTTGCGGTGTATATTCAAAAAAGCTTTTAACATCAGTCAATAGCTATTAGTTATTGATGAAATTTGGTAATATAACGATATCGCTGTTTTGTTATCCCTGCGCAATCAACGTTTTAAAATTTTTGAGCGTCCCGCTCTTTCTGACTTTCAACAAAGCCGTTCTCCACCTTCGACCTGATTGGTTGAGAGGCAGACGCTGCTCCCTCGTGTCGTGAGGCACGCTCCACGCCCTCTAATTACGTGCACGAGCTCAAACAAAGTTAGCGCGCTACAATATCGGACAGTAAAAAACAACCAGAAAATTGTCTGAATCCTCTTTTAGCCACAACTGCTAACACAAGCAAGAAAACGAAGTAAATACCGAGACTTTGGTGGAGTAAAGGGGGCTTAAAATGGAGGTAGACCTGACGGGCTAAAAAGCCGGGTCAACATCAGTGAAGCTAGCATACACAATGGGGGACACTTCCGGATCTTACAGACCCTGTAACCTTTCTGCTGGACTGGTAAACCGCTTTAACAAAGTAAGCAAAGTGTCTGTAACAAAAGTGTTTTTTTGTCAAACAGGACCTGCTGTGTGTTGTAGGGCCGCTAAACTGTTTCCCTCGGGTCCTGGACTATGTCACTTTATCCTAGTTGTGGAAGTCCTGCAAACATTGTGTTTGCTGGTAGTCTGTTGGCATCTACAGTAGCACCAATGCTTTTTACCCACGTTGACTGGGCCTTGTAATTATCTTAAGTGTTTACCTGCATTATTATCAGGTTGGGAGGGGTAGTGTTTACAGTCAAGATTTCTTCCAAAAACTGGCACTTTCTCTGATCCTGCCTACCCCACCTTTGACAAGCTACCACCAACATCCTGGCTTTATGTTTAAGGAGTGAAATATAAATACTGATGATTTTGTCCACAAACGTTTGATACACATGCTACATGTCAGCCAAAGAAGTAGTGCTCTGTCCAGAAGCAAACAAAATCAAAATCATCTACGAGTTTTATGCCTTCATGAAGTTATTAGACTATCTTAAATGCAAAGCTGACCCCTTTCAAAGGTTTGATCGTAGTTGTCATACAGTAGTTTAGTGTTAGAAGGTTATTTCTTTGATCTAGAAGCCTGTTAAGTTTATGTTTCTCTCCTTGCGAACATTTTATTACACTGTATTATGTATTCTCACACAATTTGGCTCTAAAGCTATATGAATGCAAACACACACTTGCTCAGGTTTAAACTGATTCTACAGCCTTTTACAGTTTGAGTAACTAACTCTGTAGAAACATTGCGGTACAATCTCTTAAGTTCTTCAGCTGTAAAGAGTGTCATTACGCTCTTAATTTCTCCCACAGGTGTGTGTTTATCACACATCTATCTCTACAATTCTCCCTGTATCTCAGTTCCTGTTTCAGTCTCTGAGTGCTGCTCCAGCTGAGCAGTTAGGAAAGGGTTAAAGAAAAAGTCAAACCCAAACTGCAAAGCGTTCTGAGCTGTGCGCCTCCAGTCATGTTCGATCTTGTACTGCTTGCGACTCGTGATGGTAGCATCTTTGCAGGACAAGCAGTTTATGGCTTTGAGTTCAAACACAGGCCACTTGGAACCTAAACGGCCCTCCAGTATGGTGCTGAACTCCACTACGCTTCCTGTGTTCAAGTGTAAAAGCACTGATTTAAATTCATTACTGGCACGCAGAACTATGTCCTTAGTGGCGTCTTCATCCTCTACTATGGTCCCATCCTTTGTCTTCTTCTCCAGAGGCATTCCCATCGTCACCTCAAATTTGTATCGATCAAAGCGTTTGATGTGACATTCATGCTTGGCCAGTCTCTTAAGTTTACAGAGGGGGTCTTCAAATGGAGGATGCGGGGCAGGCAGGGGCCCAGGCTCAGCTGCAGCACTTTTACTGTCTTCACATGAGGGATACGGCTCTCCGTACAGGCAACGCATCCAGTTCCCCACAAACACAGGCAGCAGATTGATCACTGAGTGAGGTCCATTCTCAATGTCGGTCACTCGCACATATTTGAAGCGCCCGGTCCAGGTGACGCGATGTCCTTCCAGGTGAGAGCACAGGATTTGAGTCTGAGCCATGTTGGAGTCTTTCCAGGCCAAAGGGCCGCATAGGTTGCTGTACTCAGGCCATGTCAGGGTGGAGTTGTACACCTTCATGCCCTCGGACCTGTAGACGTACATCCAGCAGAAGAGCACCACTGCACTGAGCCACACCAGGATTAGTTTGACGATGCTGCTTCCAGACAAGGAGCGAAACACCACAATGGGGTTGAGGCTGAAGCGTGTCCAAAGCCTCAGTACAACTGGCACGAAGCAAACTGTCAGTGTGACTATCATCTTTGTCAACTCCAGGGCCAGAAACCACTGCAGCAACTGGATGATGAGCATCGCAGCCAGGCCTAGTGACAAAATAGGAAGGGCAAACAGGAAGAGGAAGTAGCCAACACAGGTGCGAATGAGTCCTATTGCAGTGGCGTTATGAAGGAACACCAGGCAGAGCTCACACCAGGTGAAGCAGACCAGGTAGGGCACCAGGCACAGGTAGGTGCCTTTGAAGCCTTTCATCTGAGCCATACGGAAGAGGAGATAGAAAAGATGTCCATACAGCAGACACGGCATTCCTAAGTTCAATGCCACAATGTCTCCCAGAGGCACTTTGACGATCGTCATCCCTAACAACTTGAGGAACCAGAGGGAGTCCGGTAGGATGTATGTGAGGGAGCATGCTCCAGAGAGGACCTCTGTGAGGAGAGCTTTACGAGCAAACAGCTGGGCTGAGGCATGAAGGCTGAGGAAGGCAGTGACAGTGAAGAAGAAAGCGACAGCAGCCAGTTCTGAGCAGGGGATCCAGGATTTTTCAGCAACAGGGAAGGAGAAAACTACAAAGACCACCGACAGGAGGAAGTACCTACAAAGACAAAGAGATAGGAGTATTTATACTTATCATGCTAACAAAACTAGCTAAAACTATTCAACAAAGAATGTGAGTGTATTTATATAAAAACTCATGTCTTTACAAATAAGGCTCTAGGTGTGTTCGTCCAAAGTTGGTCTCAGCTTGCTCAAGATCCAGACCAGGTTCAAAGTGAGAAAGCAGGTCTGTAAGGGCCCGGTAGTTCTCCCACGCTTTCGAATTCTGGAGACAAAGATGAAAATTATTTCTCTTATCTTAACCTTGATTAATACATGAAACTACAAGACTTTAACTGGCTAAAAACATAATTCAATAATAGAGAATAGAGAAGGAACTCAAAGTGTCCTTATTTTACAGGAAAAGTCTGAAGTTAACAACCTGAAAAACTCGCAGTGTGCAGATGACCATTGAGAAGAAAGAGAGGTAGAAAACCAGCAGAGGGATGAGGAAGATGAAAAACTCGATGGTGAGATTGGAGATGATAAAGAAGAAGATGAGTGCGTTGACATGGTGCGTGGGGATCAGAGCACTGAGCCACTGCATGCCAGCCCTTGATGCCCAGTCAATGAGGTGCTCCTTTATCTCCAGCAGAGCGTACAGCGGATACTTTAACAGCTGGAGGAGAAAAATAGGAGGAACAGGGCGGGGTCGTTAAAAAACTACATCTCAACTTCTTTTAAAATCACAAAAACAAAAACTCACTGGCATTAAAGTTGAGATATGATTTTTCCTCTTCAGCAGATTAACACAACATCAAATTTCAGTTTTTGCAATTTTCTACAGAAATTTGACATTTGTTGTACTTTCAACTGATCGAAGGATGAAAACATGAAAGCTTTGGCATCAGACAACTGCCATGTCTTTAAAGTCTGAGAGCTTCCTACCTTTTCATGTAAAGGCAGCTCATCTGGATTCTTCACAACAACTTCATCATCGTCGTCACCATCATCACCTCCTGCTGCAGCCATGACAGGTGAAGGTGCGACGCCCTGAGCGTACTTCTTCGTCATCTCAACAAAATCGTCAAGACCCACAAGAGAAGAGGCTACAACCACACAGAGAAGAAAAATATTCAGAGCTGAAAGTATCTTTTTTTTCTTTTTACTTAACTTCTGAACTATGTAAAATGACAACTATGTATGTAGTTATCTTTAAATACTCAAGAGGAATTATCCACAAATCATACACAGGCAGTTGTAAAAACCTTATTTACTCTGGTTTGTTGAGGACACCTTGTGGATATAGTTTATGTTTTAAATCCCACATACCCTCACTGGTCACCATAGACTCCAGGACTCTCCTCTGTTTCTTGGTGGAGCGGTTGAGTGGCCCCGGGGAGATAGGTTTGTCTGTTAAAACAAAAGGGTTTTAAATAATCCCTTTGAGAATTCCAGCTAAAGTTTTTTTTAATTATATAAAGCACTTCGTTCAGTGTAGTGTATTATGATTTATTCTCTCATATACCTGGATCTGTGTGAATGTGTTCGACATTTTCTAGCATCTCAGAAACCGCCACAGATTTCTTCTTCTCTGGGTTCAACTTCCAGTACATCATCAGAGCCGCTTTCCTGACTCCTCTCTCAAAACGTGTCTCTGTGCACAACTTCTTCACCTCCTCAAAGTTCTCCAGAGTGATACCTGAAACATAAAATCATGGCCTCTTATCATGAGCTATCTAATGCATTTCTGAGGCCAGTCTACAGTATCGAATTTATAATGTTACAGCAGTTATTTCAGCCATAAAGAGATATATTTTGGGAGATTGTGGTACCTTTCCTGGCAGCTAAGCACTGTTGCAGCAGTTTCACAGCATCCTTGCGACCTTGTTTAGCAGCCTGGACGAGCCAAGTGACCGCTGTGCAGTTGTTCAGCTCCTCATCTCTTTCTTCCGCCAGTGCCAGGAAGTAACGTCCCATCTGGACAAAGACACACACAGACTTAAAGAGTAGCTCAGCAAGCATTACTGTGACCTGTCCTTCCCAACAATATGTCCCTTTTAAAAGTGCATTTATCATTACTTGGCTGATATGCTCTGTGCCCAACATATGGCCATTAAAGTCAATAAAATTTGCAATATGTTTCATTGACACTGACCTTGGTCTGTGCTTTAGCATCTCCTGACTTTGCTCTCTCCTCCAGATCCTCAAAACTGACCTCCTCTTCTGGCTCTTCTGAAGGAAACAGACAATAATTAAATACACAACCAACAGCAGTTTTTTAAAGATAGTTTAGAGCAAAGTGCACAATATATATAGATTCCTATACAGAAACATGCTTTTAGGTATTTAAGATTTTCTTCTGTAAACAAATGGATAATAGAAAATGACATCTGAGCAAATACGATGAATTCTTTGTCTAATCCAGCTGTTCACTTTTTTAACAACAAGACATAAAAGGCATATAAAGATTAACAATAAGATGAGCACAAGACAAAGAAGATGTTGTTTTTCACTTCACAAAAAATCATGCTCAAACATGTCTTTGGCAGCTCTCCTGCGAAAGAGCAATTTAGGTTACACAAAACATAAGCCACAATACTAGGGGCCTATAACTGCTAAAATGGAGTGTTTTGAAATCCCATGTCCACTTGTTACAAAGATAAACATTAGGAGACACTTGGGAGCAGTCCATTTCAATGTGTCAGCCTCAGGGAGTCAGCATCAGAACCTTCCAGAGACAGCATCTCTCTTGATAAGAACATCCCTATGGACCCTGCTGCTTTCTTTATCAGCTGACAAGTTCTGCTGCTCTCAAATCCCAGGCCCCATTTGGGCAGAGAAGAGGTGTCACATGTGTTGAGTTTAAAAAACAAACATGAGGAAATCTGTCGAAGTATGAATAGGCTACTAGAAAAATAGAAGAGGCAAAGCAGTGGAAGCAAATGTTGGAACACTCTCCTAGATCTGATACGCCCACATGCAGTATGTGATACTGCCGAGTGAAGGAGTGGTCTGTCTGTGCATGCCCGTCGCAGCAAAGAAAAGAACATATAATGTGGAGCTGCTGCACACAAGCTGATCACCCACCTTCACCCAAATATAACTGTTTACTTAGCGCAGTCAATAGCAGCTGCTAGCTTCCCTGAACACACGCTCTTACATACTGATGCAATCTGCCACCCATTTTTACTGAGGTCGGGTACATCATGATTTTGCGTTTGCTTTGAGGCAGCTGGATGAATTGTACATGATATTTATTTCTTTAAGGCACAGGATTTGCTCTGGAATTGAAAGACGCTGCTGTGAAATGACTAAGGTGTCAAGTTTCACACTTTCCAGTCATACTCGATATTATGTAGATATCACTTCAAAGTCAAACACCAAACTAAAATGAGAGATCCCCAGTGCAGCCAAAACACCTCTAACTATTTTCACTTCCCATTCAGGATGTGCTTAGCAAGAAGTCTGTCTAAAGATAGGGGTATGACAGCTTTTATTTCCTCAAGTCAGCAGAGTAGGAGAGGCTGTTTTCCATGTTGTGGGAAATGGCTATGGTTGTCATGGCAACATTGCATTACAAACAGTACACTAGCAATGCTGGCTGCACTGATTGACAGAGTAAAGATTGAAGTAAAGGAAGATGTTTTCAAGGGTTAATTGTCAGAGGACATTGAGTTTGAGGCTCACCTGGTTCAGGTGTGGGAGGTGGCTGTGGAGCCTTAGTGGCTGTGGATCCATTTAGGGAACCTCCAGTGGATGCTGCATTGAGCTGAGATCTGCCCACTAGAGAGGGGCTCCTGATGGGCTGACGAAGTGGGGATTCAGGCGGTGTGGACGAGGAAGAAGAATGCGAGGAAAGACCCAGAGGTGTTCGAGGAGAGGTAGCAGAGGTGGATGGTGAGGGCGTGGCTGGAGGCGTAGGCATTGTGAGTTTTGGTTTAGGGCGGTCTGATGTTGGTGTGGTTGTCGCCGGAGATGAACTGGATGAGACAAAGCCAGGTCGCGAGCTGGATGGCGATGAGGAGGTGGGTTTTGGCGCTGCTGAGTCGCCAGATTGCGATGGTTCCATGGCTGAAATTAGCAACACACAACTTATCAGTCAAAAGGGAAAGCAGAACCACAAACGGGGTAATATTAGAAAGAATCAAAGCACACAGGGGAATTTAGTGCATAACAGCTGACTGAAAGACAGTTATAAATAGGAGGAAAAACTGATTATACCCATTAAATGTAGGAGCTGTTTTGAAGTGACACTGTGTCTTTTTACTTCAGCACAACCTCTCCACTCACACAGACTTTGGTGCACATACATAACACTGAATCTTTAGGTCTATAAACTGCAAACACACGTTGTATTTAACTTCAGTTTGCGCTCCACCTTTTGTTTCAGTAAAAGCAAAACTCGCCGTGCAGTCCATAGTCTATTTATGGCACCATCAAGGAAAGAAGGGCACATCCTTCAAGTGCCCTGCCTGGAAACGCGATGAGTCCTGATGCAGTTTAGGGAACCCCCCATGACAAGCACGAATGGGCTCAGATGACAGATGGTATTCGCTGGAGTGGCTCTACAAATATGCTGTTGGTGACACTATTTTGCCAAGCGGCCAGCGTGGTTCTTTAGCGTCACAATCACTGAGTAAACATACAGCCCACAGTAATATGTAGCAGAACTCCAAAACAGTCTTAGATTTTGTTGCTAATGCTAACACGTATAGCTTTATATACTGTACTTTACAGTCTATAGCATGACTAACAGACATGTCGCGCTCACCTGTATCACAAACGCACCTATTTATTTTATATCCTCCGAGTGTCAAGGCTTCGAGCAGTATATTTTTCTGTACTATTCGGAGCCCCGAGTCATTCTTCTTGTTCGTTTTCGCCAAGTCCCCACTGTCCACCAGACCCGTATGGTCAAACTCCAAACAGACAAAATGTTCAGGCAAGTCTGCCAGCTGCTCCCCATGAGGTACACGCCCACCCCGGCTCACTCTGTGATATGATTGGACAAGCTTGGAGATTCGTCTCTTTAGAGCGTGATTTGATTGGCTGCAAACACAGGAAGCTGGAATAGGTTTGGCAGTCACAAGCAATCAACCGTAGAAGCCTTTTGTGATTGCAGAGCTCATTCCTGAGTAAGTAAGAGGTTTTGTAAACATACACTGGGCCGAAAAATAATGGCAGAAAATTTGATTTGACATACTCATGAATATTTTTTATTATTATGAAAGAGTCCCAGGCTTATTTAACTAAAGGTTTTGGTAGTCAAGAGTCTATTTGTTTTCTTAAGACGTGAGTAATACCAATACTCTACCAGAAGGTGGCAATACTATAATTTGTTGTGGTTGTAATAATTTTCAGTGAAGGATATTTTTCAAGAACTGATAGTACTTTTCAAGTTTTCCTCAGATATTTTCTTCATTATTTTTTTTACACATATTAGAATAGTCTCAACACATCTACTGTCATTGTCTGTCATCTTTGTGAAGATTTGTTTTGAAAATTTGATCAAGCATTGGAACTTCACATATTTTAATGATTTTAGTCCCAGCCAACCAACCAAATGTTTAATTACATGATCCATCTACTGTATGATCTGCTGAGAGATTACTTGCAGCACACTTAGAGTTAAATGGTCTGCCTTAAAATCTGTCATTTGTATGCATCATTTACTGTCTTGAACATGTGGATGTGGCCCAAACAATGAGGTTAAGCTTTTTGCTTTCAGTCTTGTGTAACACACAAGGGACAAACAACTTTCAAGTTCAGAGGAGCAGGGACTTAGGCTAAAAAGGAAGGAGAGCTGGCAGTTGAAGGACTTGAAAAGAATAAAAGCAACAGGACTCAAGGGAGAAAGTGAGATTAAAAGTCTGGGAGTGAGAGCTGATGCCACATTGTGGGCAATGAAGGAAATGGGGGCAGTAATTGCTAAATTGCAGCTACATTGAAGTAGTTATGTAAATGGCACTTGATGAGTAGATTAACAAAATCCAGTTGAGAGGATAAGCAGAACCCCTGCACTGTTTTTGGTCTTCACATGCACACCTATATTCTATGCAGGCCAGTCTTTCTTTTACACAGTTTTGACACAAATGCAATCACAGATGCAGTCCCCATTGAGATTACAATTTGGTCAAGCAGTTCCAGACAGATATTTGTAATTATGAGCTTATTATGCATCTAAATCTTTTGATTATGCAAATCCTTGCAGAGTTGTTAGGGGCCACACTGCCCTTGCCAGAAACAGCCACAGTCAACATGTGCAGCTTTTAACCATGTGATCATTACTTGTGTGACTTCAAATTCAAAGAAGCTGGTCCTTTTGCTTGGCCTTCTTGTTTTTCTTGTCTGTATCCCCAAGAATCAACGACTTATTCTAGAGCTCAAGGGATTATTAAGACTTCCCCATCATCTCCTCTAATCTCTTATCTGGCAGGCCTGTGTTATAATTCATGGTTCTTAAAAGCTGCTGGAGACGTAACAAAATAGACAGTCAGAGTAGTCCTCTTAGATATCCTATATAGGTCCCTGTATGTGCAGCATAGGCCACTACCTACAGCCTATCCTGACATTGTAAAAGACTCCAAGAGAGGGATGAGGATGGTTGGAAACCATAGCAACCAGAGGGGTAATGTGAGAGCGGACATTGACTGTGGTGAGTATTTCCATAGCAAATGTAGTTCAACAGCTTTAGTCTGACCTTAAAAGTTTCTCTCTGCAGGGAAGGCAGTGCGGTGTCCAGAGAGTTGCAGCCAGCTGATACTGAGGAAAGTTTTAATAGCTTTTGTTTTCTTTAATCACATGCCATCTATCCAATCCATCATATAGTAGCTTTCAAATTTTGTTTATGAAAGATGAGCAAAAGCAACTTATATGCTATTGTCATATAGAGTTAAACCCTTATTTGCATAACCCAGTTGTTATAAATCTTACTGTTTTGCTTATCACCAAGCACTCCATACTTAGCAACGAAAGTAATTGGGGAAACTCGGCTGTTTCCTGTTGCTTTACTCTTCTTCAGCTGCCAGCTCTTCTTTGTATTGATCTGCAGCTATTTTCAGGCCGGAGTGCAAAAAAAAGCAAAGAAAGAGGAAAATTCAATGAAAGAATATATGGAAAAAAGGAGTCATTGTTGGAGTGGCTGCCTTGAGCCACAACCCTTTGACTCAGTCTTTTTTGGGTTAGCTGCTTCTTGCCTTATTGTAGTTCTACAGTAATGTACACATATTTGAAGACAAGCGACACACAAGTGATATTAAAGAGAATACTTCTGCCAGTATATAGTCAAAAAAGTCTGATTTTTGACACACAGAAGCACAATTTTCTACGTCTTTCATGCTGTATGTCAATCGTATCTTTCATGACAACCTAATTTTCTTCCTCCTACAACTTCTTTTGAACTTCACACCTCCAGCTTGTAAGTTGGACTTGCTGTTAAAATTTTAAAACCCAAACCCAGATACACTTGAAAGCATCATGAAAATGGTTAAATATTAAACTTTAGGCCCTCCCTTCGCGGCAACAGAAAAAAATGCAAAAAGCACTGAGCAGTCCCTCTCTGTACAAGAAAAATTAACCAGGTGTGAAAAATTGGTGGGGTTTACTTAAAATCACACAGTTAAACACCATAAAAAAGTCAACAGTTTTTCCTGTAAAGCCTTCTTAAAATGACAGTTCAAAACACTCACAGACACAAAGTCACATAAGTGATTGTGTTATATTTACAGTAGCTATCAAACAAAACATTGTTTATTTACATTTAAGCCACTAAAGCAGAACTATAATTCTAATAAAGCTTTACAATACAACTGTCTAACCCTCAAGGCTAAGTCATAAACTTGTGCTAAGGCTACATCAAACAACTTGTGTAATGTTTAAGGCTGTGGGCAGTAACTATGCATTTGCAATGCAAAACAGTAGACAATCTAATTGAACATCTAACAGCAGCATTTCCATTAAACCCTTCACAGCTCACACAGCAGTTTATAAAACAAAGAAGAGTCACTGTTTGAAAGGCTTTTACAAACCAAAGAAACTCTAAACACCACTTTCTTCTTCTAAACACTGTGTAGACATCTTGTTGTATGCATGTTATAAATTAAGGAGTTTGGGAATGGACCGTGGAACATCAGGCTCAGATTTTTTAGTGACTAACTGTGGTGACTCATGCACTGGAAGCTTAATTACCCTCACATGAAAGTTTTACGTCACTACTGGCACTCCAGACTGGGAAGTTTGGGTTGGATTGTGGAAAATAGGTCAGTTTGGTTGCTGGCTGCAGAGACGGACACAAAGGTGTCCAATGTTTCCTCTCTGATCTTGAATGAATACTGTCTAGATGGTACATTGGCCAGATATATTCCTCATACCACTCTCTGTCCCCCTCTGAATACCAGAGGCCGTCACTTAAAGCTTTAATAAGTTTTATCTGGCACCGTTCATGAATATGTTAAGCTTATTATGGACAGCTCTCATGCATATGCCAAAAACCTAAGGTGATTATGTTAAGCTAATGAAAATACTGACTCCTCACATCCATGTGTTATAAATGACTAGGTAGAAGAGATTGAAAAGGTCTGATTAGATCTATTGTTATCACGACTAATGAGTAAGATTTTCACTTCAACAATATATGATTAAGATGTTTTTTTTTTATCTCTTCAGCCGAGTCACTAAACCCTCTTTAGGGAGCAGTTCAGGGGCACTCTTCATCTACCATTTCTTTAACACTTAAGACAACCACAGTATAGATAGATACATAAATAGATGCACATTATCTATTATCTCATAGGGATGATCTTGACTTAGTTGACATACTCTCACAAGATACAACCACAGAGATGCTGTCAAAAACACTTTCTTTTATCTTGTCCTGGAGAATTGTGGTGTTTGAGTGAGAGCTTGATACAAAACAGACTCCCAAACGTACCATGTTGTGGAAAACAGTGAAAATACCTCAGGCAAAACCATTAAGAGAATCTCTCATTACTGCTGTCTGACACAGTTTCGGAGTCGATCCATCACCAAAACAAAACATCCCTCGCTCTCTCTCACTTCATTTTCCCTGCAGATGCAGTTTTTTTTTCTTTTTTACTTCATCCATCCATTCAGCTATCTGCTTGCTGGTATTGTCAGAAGCTTGAATGTGATGCAGTTTTATACTGTAGCTCATCCTCCTTTGTTTTTCTGTTTTATCTGGCTTAAAATGTCCCATACATCTTCAGAGCTATCACAATGATACTTACTAGTATTCCAGTTTGAAGTGAGTGACTGACCTCTGCAAGGGAGTTTAAGCTGCAGACTGCAGACATCCATCCCTTACCATGCACTCTTTTTTTTTTTTCACAATGGCCCTATGATGCCCTGCGGTGCTGTTCTGCATATGCTGCAGCCACAGCGAGCAGTGATGATGTTGAGTGATGCTGCATGTGAGAGGCAGAGATGAGCAGCTGTGCGGAAATAATGCCTCCCTGAGAATCTGGGTCACACCACTTTTGTACTCACATAATTTCACCTATATTTTTTTATTTCGTTGTATAGTTTGAGTAAGATGGACCAACACAAAGGAGGCTTAAAGTACAGTTTTTGTTGAAAATTTTATTCAGTGCATTGAAAGCATGAGGAGATCTACAGACCTGGATGTTTTTCCATTTGTATAGATGATGAACAACCTTGATTGACCTCAGTATAAAAAGCACAATCTTTTTATAATGATGCCTGGCAGGAGGCACAATGGATCAATCGTCACTGTTCCAATCATTATTGTCATCTAATCTGAAAGAGAGTCACATTAGGGACAACACAAGTTCCCTGCAGCTAAGGAGTGTGGAAGTGCCACGAAATACTTAAGAAATTAAGAAAAATATAGCCTGTATAATGGGTTTGATAGATTACAATGGAGCACATAAGTGAACTAAGTGCCTGCTTAGGGCCCCACGGCTAGTAGGGGGCCCCCAAAAACAATCAAAAACAAACAAAAAAAAATTAAAATCATATAATATTTATTTTTATTTTTTGCATGTATTAGTGATGCTTTCTGTACAATCAAATATATATTATTGTAAAAATAAAATAAAGAAAAACATTTTAGTACTGCTGCTGATGTAGGCCTATGATTCTTACTACCGATGGCACTTTTACAGAAAACACAAAGCTTTATAGCTTGGAATATTGTGAAAATCAACCCCAGGTCGCTCTTGTAGCTGAATGTGTCACATTTTGAGATTAAAAACCATATGTGGCACCCTGAACATCATTCATCAGTCATTCATTGGTATTATTTGTATGTTTGCATTGGTGTTATTACCTAGGCCACCCCCTTAAATGTGTAAGACATGTCAGGCGCATTAAATTTGTACTGTAGTAGGTGTGTGAATGATCAATAATCAATATATTGGAAGACACAGAGGGCCCCAAAATCAAATTTTGCTTAGGGCCCCATTGAGTCTTGGGCCGTCTCTGATGGAGCACAACATTCAAGTAGTCTCTCTAGTAAAACAAAATGTGTCTCAGTCTGAGGATCTGAATTTTCCTCTCTGTGGTTATCAGCCTGGACCACCCAGGTACCACCGTACGCCCTGACGTTTCTCCTGCACCGGCTGCGTGTCCACGCACTCACTGCGCGCGGTGTCATTCTTGAACACGCAGTCAGGTGTCGCGCTTCTATCACGCTACCGGCGACGCCCGCCCGGCTTTTCTTCCCCCCTCCATGTTCCAGTCGCCATAGTTTCATTTATTTATTTATATATTTGTGTTATTCACTCATGTGAATGTAATGTATGGGAACGGATGACGTCGCTCGTGCACTCCAGTGTGTTTGTGTGGGCGTGGATAGAAGTGTCAACGTGCGGCGGCGCGAGAGGAGGAGGAGGAGGAGACGTTTGCAGCTAAATCAAGCTAGAGGATAATATTAACGGCGGAAATACAACTTTCACCGCTGGAAAATGGGTGTCACATCCGAGGAATAAAGTTGTAGACGGTCACCTTCAGCTGTGGGTTGAGCAGGGCATCTTTTTTTCCCACGTTGATATCGCTCTCCTCTCCTCAGTGCAGGAAGCTCAGCCTCCCTTCCTCTCTCTGGATGTGAGGCAAAGAGCAGCCAGCGACGTTTCTACATCAGGGCCACTTGTGAGCAACTACTGGAACCTCCATTTCAGGTAAGTTTGCCCGTCTTGTCACGTAAAACAAACACCGATGGCTGACTTTGTGGAGGTTGAAACCGTTACCGTGTTTAACGTCCACACGACGGTGTAACGGTCAGACAGGGAGCCAAGGACCGACCATCCCTAACCGTGTCAGGCTTCCCGGCGTGAGTTGGTGCCTCTCTTCGGATTCTCACTGAGTCCACGCAGACAGACAGACACGGCTGTTGTATCTGGTTGCACCGTGGACCTGTGTGACGTCACTCTCGGCGTGTGGCGGACTCTGTGGGCTAACCATAGAGGAAGTATGAAAAGGACACCTGCCACGAGTGATTTACCAAAGATCAGACCGTGTTACCTGATACCTCGATACGGTGTTTTATCCCAAACATTACCGCGGTTTTATCGGCCGCTGGTTTGACATGGACCATATTACAGTAATGATAATGCAATGTGACAGGCGTATCATCACGTTAAACTGTACTGCCTGAGTGCAAGGACACCCGACCTCTGTGGCTGGAGGATGCTGCAGCAGCCCTCGTGCATGTCGCCGTGGGGTGTGGTTGGCAAAACCGGACAGGCAGGCTGTCAGCAGTGTAAAAGCGCTCTCCCCCAGCAGCAGCTCTCCACTCCACTCCACCCTGTAATCTCCCATTTGACAGCTCATTAGATGGCTGGCCACATCCCATCCTTCATGACATCCCAACCAGACAACCCCATACCAAACCAGACCTCTACATCCGTATTGCTTCTCTGTCCATCCGCTCTGTTTACTCAGTCTGTCTGTCATAACAGCTCTGCTGCTGCTTTAGCAGGCAGCCCCACAGGCTCATAAATGTGCCACAGTGGACAGCCAACATGTGTTGCACACTCACTTCTGTTTAATCAGCTCCAGCTCAGGGCAGGCTGCAAAAGACTACAATGCATGCTCCATTCATCTGTGGGAACTGATACTGAGATGGGGACTTGTCTTATCTCATTGTGACAATGAACAAAGTCGCTGTCAATAATTATTGGATGATTTTCTGTATATGATCCCAACCTGACTTCCATTGTGTGTTGGGTATAATGCTTACATTCAGAAGAATTCCTTTGCATCACCCCTTTTTTGTTTCCTTCACTCGCCTCTATCTGCTTTGGTTCATCCTGTATATTCTTCATTCATAATCCTATTTCTCCTACTACACTGCAAAACACATCAAATGTAATCATTATATGCATGCAAACAGCCTCACTGTCTGCATTAAAAATACAAATCTTATTTTCAGTCTTCCTGGAGTATATCAGCTCTTCTTTGAAATGCAAAAATTACGTTAA